ATTAATGCAAAAATACAATGACAAATGTTAATACTAGGCAAGTTCTGATTTTAATTATTACAACATTTCCACCTATACTTGAGAATAACCCGTTACTATGGCTCCCCCACGTACAATAAAACAACACAATGAAACTAATCTTCAATAATGAAATATACGGATTGTACTGAATACATAATGAGCAATAATTATGCAACCAAAACAGATTCTTGTACCAAATGAACACCTATAGTCATTAACAATAATGAAGTGATATGGTGTTTTAGTGACCTACAGAAAATACTATGAATATTTAATTTTTTGTCCATAACTTATAGTTGATTTTAAATAGTCTTAATTATTTCGACCACTGTTAGCATCTTTTAGACCGATTTTAGTCCAATAATACAGCATAATGGTTTATTTGAAAGTTTTGTACATATTTTAAGTTGTAGTAAAATATTTTTGATCGGTATTTTTCCAGTTGCTTAAATAAGGCTAGATAAACCAATGCATGCCTTATATGTAATAGATTTTGGTTTGGTTTGTTTGGAAGTTCGCGCAAAAATACACAATGGCTATCTGCGTTAGACGTCCCTCATTTAGCACTGAAAGACTAGAGGGAAGGCAACTAATTGTCACCACCCTCCGCCAACTGTTGAGCTACTCTTTACCAACAAATAGTAGGATTGGCCGAAATATTATAACGTCCCCATGGTTGAAAGGGCGAGCTTGTTCGAATCCGCGACCCTCATATTGCGTGTCAAACGCCCTAACCACATGGCCATGCCAGGCCACTAGTGTAACGAGAACGTTAAATTATTTTAACATTAAATCAATTAGAACAATTATCTTACCTTATAAATAATATACATTCTAATACGAAATGTTAACATTTTCTCTAAAAGATGAAAACCGAAACCAAGAATAATGAAATAGCTCAAATGTTTTTGCCATTAACTCGATGGTTAGAAAATTTGATTTGCGCCATTTTTAGTTTCGATTTTTATCACTTAATTAAAAATTTCAACATTTCATATTAGAGTGTGTAATATTCTTTATAAGATAAGCTAATTATTCTAATTGCTTGGATTTTTAAATTGTTTAACGTTCTCTTTACACTAGATCACTAAAACGAACTAATGCAAACCGATTATCATAAAAAGCGGGGCTTTACGTCTTATGGCTCACTCACGTGACTGTATTTGATAAACTCATTCATGTAGAATTTTAAAAAATGTATTAGTATTTTCAACCAGCACTTCAAGTAGCACTGCTTTCAAACTAAGTAATAGCTTAACAGGCCGAGCGTCGTCTAAGGTTTGATTCCGCAATTTGCTACAGAACATGCTTCACATTTTCAGAAACACTTGCTTCTAACTGGTTGTCTTTTCTCTGATCAACAGTTATAAATTAGGATGGCTATGCGTGAGCTTAAAGTGTTTCCGTTCTGGCCGCTTAGGCCACATATTGCAAATGATGGAGACTCTAGAAACCGTCTTTCGATACCTATGATGGGCAGAGCATAGATAGCCCATTATGTAGCTTTGTGCTTAATTACAAACAAGCTACATGTGGTACATCAATAACAAATTTTCTGTATATATGTGTGTGGGTACTAAAGGAAAAAGATTCAGTTTATTTTCACCTTGAATTTGCAACTACAAAAAATGGAGCTACTAAATATAAACATCACAAACTCAATGTTATTATGGACTCAAGTAATTTACTGTAATTCGATATTTCTGTAATTTTTTTTATATAGAATTCAAATATAAAAGAAAAAAGAATTTGCTAAAATGCAGTAGAAGCACAAATAGTGAGTATCAGGTTATATGGACATCTATGTGTCTTAAATGTTATTAAGTGCCACAATTTTAAACAATTAAGATCTAGGAAAGGAGAGACACCCTTATTTTTTAGATTTCCTAAGGAACTTATTCAAATTTGCAAACTTGACTGTACTGTACTAACACTACGTAAGGATATAATAAACACTGACGACTAGCATGATCTGGGAATCGAAAAAAAAATAATATCTGTATTTTATTGTATTCCAAAGATTAGGGTACTCGTTTTAAATCACTATATAAAATCAACCAAAACGAAGAGAACTATTATGAGCTAAGTTCCACGTTAAGGATGGTAGAGTTTAACATAGTAACGTTAAAAACTAAGAGTTAAGTGATTAGTAAGCAAATTTGAAGACATATTTCTGTTATTTTTCTTCTATTTCTCACTGGGATAAACATTAATGAATGTGCAAAGATTTGTATAAAAAAAACCAAACATTAATTGGGAGATGCTGCACGTCCAATGGCCCATTTTCTAGTTACACAGAAAATTATATGGTTTGCTCTTATGAAGAACATTTTCATAATTTAAAACTTATTTTGATGCTAACGAATTAAATGGAAAGTTAGAAAGAAAACGATAATAGATGTCATTCATAGCAACGTATCTTAGCAACAAAATTTTATCCTGGTCCCCACAAAAATCATTGTATGTAATAAGAAAATATAATAGAGAGTATGTCCATCGAAGACAAGGAACTATATAATTAGATAGGTTAATGTGGGTCTTATTATCACGTTTACTGAACTTCAGTAAATGACCATAATATTTTTCTACTATTATTTCTGTTGTCTTCCTGCCATCTTTCCTCCTGCAGAAATGAACTTTATTGGAAGTTAACCTGTTTGGAAGGCATGAAAAACAGAGTGAACACAAACATCTCAGCCTTATGCATATAGAACACTCAGCAGGGTGTAGGTAAAAGCATTGATCCGTAATGTTTTCCGGTTCTATGATACACAGTACATCTGATTAAGTGGCCCTCGTTCGGCCAGTAAATATATATATGTGTGTGTGTGTGTGTAGTAATCATAGCAACTAACCCGACACTTGGTCAAGAGGAAATATACTAATCCTACTAGAGCATAAAGTGAGGAGAATACTGAACTATATTTTATCAAAATAATTAAATAGTTAAATTGCTTACATCCTTCTGATCAGTTTGACCTACTGGCCTTGTTTCGAGTCTTATAAGTATAGATATATCTTCCACAATGTTTTAGTTTGTGTGACTATAAAACATTGGAAATTTTGGAAAAGTGGCTCTACCCAAGTGAAAGAACCTAGTTAAGATTTCCAAAATCTGCAATTTCTATTATAAATATATTTGTACTTGTCTCAGTTATTCATAGTTTACATGAAAATAAACTGAAGTTCTGGAACTTTCGTCAAATTATGGTGAGTACCTATTGCTAACTGAATGAACAAAATAAGAAAACTAGTTAGGTTATGAGTTAAACATAGATTGAGGGAGTGAATAATAAGATTCAAAAATAAAGCACAAATACATAGCAAAATAGCTTTCATTAGATTTAAACACACCTCCCGGCAAACACAAAATATGCCTTGTAATAAAGTTTATTTGAGGGAACAAACAGTTTTTTACTAGATATACTAGATAATGAATTTAGCTCCCCAGTGGCACAGCGGTATGTCTGCGGACTTACAGCGCTAGAAACCGGGTTTCGATACCCGTGGTGGGCAGAGCACAGATAGCCCTTGTGTAGCTTTGTGCATAATTTAAAACAAAAACAAAACAGATAATGAATTAAATTTATAATTTTGGTTTCGATATGAAAATAATTGTGTTACCTCAAAATTGACTCAACTCGTTACACATTATCACATTATTACTCGTGCTAATGTACTTCTCGCAGACAGAAGCCACTCGAAGATAGAATAGATATTGATCATTTTACTTCTGCAGTTTGTCTTTATCAACGAATTCTATACGCAAAGCGATATGTCCACATTGCTTTGATTTATTGAATTTATTGTTATTTGTTTTAATTTTTAGTATTTCCAGTGGTTAGTGAGTAAGTTCACTGACTCACAACGTTAAATTATGGGGTTCGAATCTCCCCGGGTAGACACAGCAAGTAGTCCGATGTGGCCTTGCTCTAAAAAACAACCAATCAGTCAGACTGATATCCCTTGTAATATCCCATGATTCTGTAACATTTATAGTTTACGTTTTATAGCAAAGTCACATTGGGCTATTTGCTGTAACCACCGCTGGAATCGAATCCCGGATTTCAGAGTTGTAAGTCCGTAAACTTACCGCTGTCGCACCAGGGGACTTTTTAAACAGAGGTTTAAGTTCTTTGTTTAAATACCTTTACATAAATCCTCTGTATATATATTTTTTCATTCGGCTTTTCTTTTATCCCAATATGACATTTCATAAGATGAGATGTAGAAACTGAAGGAAACTGTATAAACATGAAAATATCTCAATATTTTCGTATTTAAATGTTGAATTATTTACTAAATCCTGCTAATATCTCGTGCTGATAAAATATAAAAATTTTCTTGGATATAAAACTCCTTATCTCACATGCTTTAGTTAGTCAGACAATCATTGGCAAAGGTTTTATTAATGTTTTTATAAATTAAACTTTAGTAGCATTGGTATAAGGAGGCGGGGTTTAAAAGGTAACTGCTTTTTTTATTTTTCTGCTCATTTATTGTCGTTGCAGAAATAATTCAGGTGTATAACATATTATTTATAATGAAGCTTCTCATGTAATAATGTTAATTTTGCTTCTCATTTAATAACATTAGCTTTTGTTTCATTTTTCCAATTTGATTCGAACTTTTGTAATAAGTGAACCTTAAACGATATTCTAAACTTCTGATTTTGATCAAATTGTAAAAAGTACATACATATTTGAATCTATATCATCCTGAAATTCCAATAATTATTGACGTGTACACTAACCTCTATGAATCCTATCCCCTTATTTAACACCATGTTAATAATACGTTTGCTTTGAACATTCCAGTATATTTGGAATTCTTATGTGATTTAGGTTTCAATATACACCTTGTCTTTGCTGACTGTTATTACGGTATGCAGTGTCTGGGGCGACACATTCACTGAAGATGGTGTTACAGGTGAAAAAGAGTCACAGGCAAGCAACTTTAACGATACTTTTTCTGAATCCATGTGGAAAGAGAAATGGCAAATACCTACAAACATTGCAGAAATTCTTGAATCCAAAGACGGTGAGCAGAAGAGCAAAGTACCAGAACTGAATATTGAGGACGAACACAAACCATCCGAATCTGGCAAGTCTATTAGCCGTTCTGTTCATCGTAGCAACCCCAGAAGTGGACATGGAGGATATGGCAAAGACGATTATGGTCCTGCAGGGACGACCAAAGCACCTAATTGTGCTCAGTACAGCCGATATTATTGTAGCTATAAAGAGGACTATCCAATGTGAGTTGTAATTTGTTTAATTTACGTGGTAATCTCAAGTTTAAAAGTTTTCTGCTTTCAAATATCATATTAATTCTAATTTGAGCAATTATGGTTTTCATTTTATCTTACAAAGATAAATTTGTTAGCTATTGAGTCAAGATAATCTTATATGATTTATAACTTCTGAAGCATAGCTGATCGAACTGCATAACACCTTTTAAATGCAGCACTTAACACCATTTAAATGCTTAAGAACACATGTATTAAGAGGCTGTAAACTTCTCATTCTGGAATCGAACCCGGGCCTCTTAATTTTTGCAAATGGCATATCAGTGATATTTAAAATACTTTTTATTATTCTTAAATAACCCACTCCTTGATATCTTGATAAAATAAGTTAAGCTTAAATATGAAGTAAAAGCGAAGAAGACATCTGAATATTATCTAGCACTCAAGAGAACTCTCTGATCTATTACGAAAATGATTGTTTCTTTTTAGAAGAAAAAAAAACATCAATAAGGAGATTTATATTCTCATTTGGAGTAATATCAATGGCATAAATAAAGTACTTTCTTTTGTTCAAAATAAGCACAGGTTTTTGATTCAGAATTTTTCTTCTCTTATATAACAACTGTCGGAAGCTTCAGAATGTTCATCTAAAGTTCAAATATATATTGAAATCTGCGATACAGATAAGTGGCATCTTAATAAATAAAAATATAGTACCGTTACATGAAAATTAATCACGGAATGCCAAGAAAGTTTTATTTTGTCATTTGTAGATCTTGAGAAATACTGCAGCAACGGGACGTTAAAGTCGGTAATGCAGGAAAGAATCTAAGATAATTCTTAATATTATCAATAACACGAAGTCTCGAGTTTTGCTCACCTTCCCGCAATTGCAAGATAGAGAATGAATCACAATCAATTAAAACGTATTCAAAAGTTCTCAATGCAGTATTAGGTTTGCTGACTTGAACCTTGCGGAAACACTATCCATTCTTTGATGAATTGTTTAGGCAGAGTATTCATGATGAGTAAACTGGAATGGATGGCAACTGCTTGTTGTAAAAACAACAACAACAATACAACACAAGTGTAGAGGACGACGTTTCGAAACACCATCCTCTACACTTGCATTTTTTGTCTTTTTACAACAGGCAGTTGCCATCCACTCCAGTATACTCATCAGATGTGACATATATTAGATAATGAACGATAAGCTATTATTTGGATTATTTAACCAATATATTTGAGTCACTTGTGTTATCATTCTACAAATAATTTTCGTACTTGAAAAATGTAGTTTGAGAGAAAAATCCAAGCATATTTTGAATACATATTAATGTTACTAGATCCTAAAAAATACGGATTTCAAATCTCATTTTATCTAATTTTAAACAATATTTTTGCAGTGTGACTTGTTGTTTTTTTTATTCATTCTCAAACGTAACACAAGGCTGTAAAAACTTTGTTTGATTTAATTATTTATATAACGCAGTGATATTGTCACGACTGTGTCAAAATACATGAAATGGCCTTTTGAAAAGCTTTTCCGGGATCTGAAGTTTATAAAGATGCCGAAACCTGCAAACACCGGATATGGTGCCTTGGTGTGTGACTCCATAACAAGGATTGTCCGTCCAGGTTGGGCAAAGAACACGAACGGGCGCTGGTTGGTTGTTATCAATACGGATTACTATCAGCAGTACGTAACTGAAGTTATTTGTCGGTAAGTTTCAGTTGGGATTTACTCTTCTGAATGTATAATGTTTAAAAGGTAATCAATATTTTTACTTGTATTAATGAAGTTACTGAAACTCAGTACTTATTGTACTGAATCCTAATAATTATTATTCTTTTTTTTGTTTGTCTACATCATTGTCTTCATTTATTTTTTCAGTGTTCCAACTATTCAGTATTCGAACAGTGTAAACATGAAATATGTTATTACGCCAGTTGGATTTTATTTCCTTGTCTGTTGTCTGCTTTAGAATTTCGCGGAAAACTATACATGTTTTTGCAATATTGAACTGATATGCTACAGGGAAGGCAGGTAGCCAAGAATACTTATCACCAACTATTCAAATACTCTTATCTGACCAGATAAGAGTTATTATAGTTATTAGATAGTTATTATAATGCACCCACAGTCCCAAGGTTTGAAGCTGGTTTTAGCGGTAACAAAACGTCAAGCTATGAATCTTCTGATTTTCAATATGAGCACGTTAACCAATGGGCCACGTCCTGTCCGTCCATTAGTAATTTGCAATATTCAGAAACTTTGTGAATGCCATCCTCTTATTTCTTTCTTTCGGCAGCCACTTCATTTTTCTTAGTGGTATTCTTTTTTTTTGTCTCTCTCTCTCGCTTTCAAATCTTTTACATTAATTGAACTTTTTCCTTTTTTTATTTTATGCAAATTTTTCTTATTGTTACATTCAACTTAACTTTACTTATTCACGGCTCCTTTTCTTTACGTTTTTTTTCAGCATAATTCCCTCTTCCTCTACAGCGTCCCCTTTCTTCTTAATTCTGTAACTTAATTTCACCAGTTTTTCCTTATAGTCATTATGTCTTCCAGCTTTAATTACTCATTAGTAAAACTGTGCTACTTTCTTGAAATCTCAGTTTCTTTTTTATGAACTTGTTATAGCTATATTTCTATTTTAAAATGTATCGTATATTTTTCTCAGCTACAAGACTAATGAATTATTATATGGTTATAAATTATGTTTGACTGTTCGTAATTTTTCTAAACTTAATTGATATTTTCTTAAATTAACGTTTTAAAAATGTGTATTTAAAGCGTGGAAATAATGAAATTAGGGTTACTCGTATTATGTGTCTAGTCTTCTGATTTGCCTCTAACTTTCTATCAGTAATTTAAATATTAAGAGAGTGTTTGTTTGTTTTGAAGTTAAGCACAAAGCTACACAATGGGCTATCTGTGCTCTGCCCACCACTGGGTATCGAAACCCAGTTTCTAGCGTTGTAAGTTACAGATATATAGCTGATCCACTGAGGGGCATTAATTGAGTGTGCATTATTTATATGTATTCTCAGAAGTAACACTTTACTTATCTTTTTACCATTTCAAAACTTTCAATTGGGGTTTTCCAATAACTCAGTGATAAATTTGTAGGCTTAAACGCTAAAAACTGGGTTTTGATTCTTGCCTTAACTGAAGTCTAGCATGTCATTTACAAATCTTAAACCGGTGTCTTTGCATCATAACATAGTCAGTATGTAGATAAAGAAATCCTGAGCCCCTATCCTATCATTCGCTTATATAATATTGTTAGGTTTTATAAGATTATCTCTTACTTTTCTTTTCTCAAGACAAAATAAGTTAAGAAATCTTAAGCCTATTCCTATTGATAACCCTTCCATCCCTTCCATTTGCTCTAGTGGCCCTCCTTTCAACCATTTCCAGTGAGCGAATAACCTTTCTTAGATAAGGAGATAAAAACAGTGTACGGTATTCCAAAATAGGCCTAAGTAGGAATTTATATAAAGAAATAATTATGCAATTTGACTTGTACAATCAATAGGTTTATAAATATACTCTAAAAGCTTTATTACTAGCAACAGAGTACGGCTTTGGTGGCTTGAGTGACTTATTTAATACTATGCCAATATCCTTTTTTTAGTCACGCTATTTGAATTGGTTTCCATTTATGATATGACCGTTGGTAAAGAATAGCTGACGAGTTTACAGTGTATATTGTTGACTGTTTCTCCTCTAGTTTATTTCTTCACAAGTACGGTCGGCTAGAGCAAGTACCCCTCGAGTAGTTTTGCAGGAAATTAAAAAAACTGCTACTAAAATACACAGTGTATTTATAATTAAATAGTGTTCTAAAGGTTAAATTATACACTTAATTTTAACAGTATTTGCGTTTGAATGGATTGTCTTTCTAGGGTAAATTATATTTGAAAATTTAAGTACAGTTCAGAACATCGGAATATTGAAATGAAAACATAATAGGTGTTTCTGATGAAATCAGTAAAAATGTACATTTAAAGACGTTCCTGATAACATGAGAGATGTGAACTCGAATGGACACAATTCATGTTCTTGTTTATGCGCAAAATTTGTAACTTAGATACTTAAATCACCTTAATAATATAATAACTACAGATAAATCTAATAAAAAAAGTAGAAATATGAATGTATATTATATATATATCGAAGAATGTTTTGTAATGCAAGGCTGAGAGGTGGAATCTGGGAACTTTGGCCTTTAAGATTAACATGTGGGAAGTTCATTTATTTACCAGTCACACAATTCATAAAATATTACATGTTTGGTTATGCAATGAATAGCTTTTCGTTTTATATGCCATGAGAACAAGAACTACTAGTTTTTAATACACAAAAAAGTGTTAGCCAACCAGAACTTAGGGGTGTTATAACGCTAAGATTTGGGGTTCGCTCTCTACAGTTAGCACAGCGTATGTAGCCCATTTTATAGCTTTGCGCTTAAAACTAGACAAATTAATATTAAAGTCCATATAAAAAAGCCCTTGAAACTAAGGTTAGGCGGATAAGACTTATGAAGTCGCTGTTTCTGTTGTGGGAAATAAGTGGGCAAACTTTCGCGACAACGGGAGGTGAACCATGAACCCGGAATCCACAGTTCGGCACAATAGACAGAAGGCCACGACCGTGCTCTTAATACCGATGCGTAACGATAAACAATAAAGTTAAAATGAATCCTTTTTATATAATTTGTATATTTGCAAATTGGTTTCATGTCTCTATCAGTTGAGTTCTGCCAATTCTTTGTATGACGTTCACAGTTGTATAATGTTGAAAGAGTGCATTACTTTAAAACGTAATATATTTAAATGAATTACAACAAAATACGATTTACGCGATATATTCTTCAATAAGAAGTATAATCTTTTTGAATATCATCTGACTTTACTAAATGTTATGTGATGTTCAAATATATTTTTTTGATAATTGATACTTGAAACCTTCAGTACTTGCTGAAACTTCATAATTACAGAATGGAGGGAAAACAAGATAAATTGTACCTGTCACAAGGCCCGGCATGGCCAGGTGGTTAGGGTCGCGGGTTCGAATCCCCGTCACACCAAACATGCTTGCCCTTTCAGCCGTGGGGGCGTTATTATGTGACCGTCAATGCCACTATTCGTTGGTAAAAGAGTAGCCCAAGAGTTGGCGGTGGGGGTGATGACTAGCTGCCTTCCCTCTGGTCTTACACTGCTGAATTAGGGACGGCTAGGGCAGATAGTCCTCGGGTAGCTTTGCGCGAAATTTATAACAAAACCAAATCAAACCTTTCACAAATGCTTAATTTATTACGACCATGTCTTGTTTTTCTTCAATTCTATAATTTTTAACATGTTAACAGATATAAGGTATGTGTAATACATAATAATAAATTGCATATTCATTGTTTTGATGAGAATTATTTTCTGTTATTTTTCAGCTATGAGAACTCCTACTGTAACTTTGTGCCACCGTGCTACCACGCCACCTGCCAACAACGCTATAATACACAATATCTTCTTGTTATTGACCCCTACAATCCATACAGAGGACCGTTCCTCTCGCAGTTTCTTTTTCCTTCTTGTTGTGTTTGTCACGTCCCTAATCTCAAGCCTTACAGTAAAAGTGGCAAACATGGTGAATTATAAGAATAATCGATAATTAGGAAAATGAAGAGCAGAACAGTTTTTATCCTTGGAGGTAGATTAACGCCTACATTCGTGTATAATAATTTATATATTTGGGTGTAGAAGCAAAGTGTAGGGTTTATCTAAACTGCAGCAAAATTATATCAAATTAACATTGGGACTTCATATTTCATTAAGATTATTATCATTAAGACCTGATAAAATTTGTAACTGTAATTAAATTTAAGTTACATTATAGTTTTCTTGTTTTGCTACCTTTATGATATATACGTATATTTATACTGATATTTTCATAGCTGTGAGCTTTCCACTGGCACAGATGTATGTCTGTGGACTTACAATGCTAGAAACGGGGTTTCGAAACCCTTGGTGAGCACAGATAGCCCATTGTGTAGCTTTGTACTTAAATTCAAACAAACATATATTTCTATGATATTAACCTTTTGAGTAGTTGTATATAATATGTGTTTATAGTTATATTGAGAATTCTCCAAAAGCCCTGAGCAAATTCTATTTACTTTTGCTTTCTTAAAACGTCTTTAAATTTATTTCATAACAAAATTCGGGAACACTTGAACTAAAACATAGCGTGGTTGAAAGAGCACATCAATTTAAATTTTTGAAGTCCCCAGTTGCTCAGCGGTAAGCTTGAGGGCTTATAACGCTAAAAATCTAGTTTTGACACCCGCAGTGGGCATAGCGCAGATAGCCCATCGTATAGCTCTGCGCTTAAAAATAAACAAAACTAAGTAATATTAAAAATTTAAGACTTATAAGTTAGAATTAATAGAATTTCATAAAACATGATTCCAACTCCTAAATGAATCTCCACTACAACGTTTTATAATATTATCGTAATAAAAAGTCATTTATATAAGTGGGCAAACTTTCGCGACAACGGGAGGTGAACCATGAACCCAGAATCCACAGTTTGGCACAATAAATGAATCTCCACTACAATGTTTTATAATATTATCGTAATAAAAAGTCGTTTACATATCATGGATATAACTAGATTAATATCTTGTTATTTTACACTGCTATTAAATGCAACTTTTACGCTCGTCAGTAATTCAGGAGTACGTTTATAGCTTATAGCGCTATAAATCGGGTTTAGATACCAAGAGTGTTTACAAAAAACATTATAGGTTTTAAGATAATGGGATCGAAACTAAAGGTGTATACCAAAATGCGTAGTTTCCTGTCAAAATCTGTTTCGAAATGACCATTTTAGTACGAGCAATATCCAGCTACACACTGGACCATCTGGGCTGGCTCCATCGCGAGGAATCGAACACCGGATTATAGCATTGTAAGTCTGTAAATTTATCGCTGACCCACCGGAGTACCTTATCTGCATAAGATGTACTACTCTAGACGAGTGTAATATCACCATTGAAAAATATTACTGAGCCTTTATTAGTCCATAGATTAGCACATCAACCTTTAATAACTTTAACTCTTATTGGACAGTTGAAATAATCAGCACAGCTAATTTCAAGAATCTTCATTTCATCGTGTAGGTATTAGTCAGCAACTAGTTGTGAAATGAACAAAACAGTAGTTATATGTGTCTGCATCTGAAGACAAAAATATACATAAAATTGTGATTAATCTCCCCTAGATAAAAAGGAACTTTCTGGTACAAAAGCTTCATTTCATTCTTACATATATTTGATAGTTCATCTCATAAACTTAAATATAAAAGCTAGAAAGTGTCGTTGTGCGCTTACACAAAATAAAATGCAAGCACACAAAATAGAAATATTACGATCTAAAACTGCAGAAATAGGTTGATTTTGGTTTTTAGATGTAGCGCTTATGATACCTTGTATAAGTATTCGTATGTAACTAGTAATTTATCGTAATTGATCACTAACAATTCTGGTTAAATATATCAGAGGAACTTTTTAAACATCAAAATACAACTTCTCAACGTTGAATTCGAAACTCTCCTGTTTGCGTATTTTTAATGTTTTATGTAATATATTCATACCGTTTAGAAAAGCTTTTAACATGAGAAAGAGAAATGTAAAAGCAAGTAACTTTAAATACAAAATAAGCCTAAAGAACAGTTGCAATAGCAACTTTGTACAAATCAGTGTTTGCATGTTTTATATGAAATGTATTTCTTGATAATAAACTTTGTTAATTGTTTTATTGCTTTCATAGGAAACGTCTGTCTGTATTTTATTTATCGTAGTTTAGTTTCGGAATGTTTTCTCAAGTTGAAGTTTTATGATGTCATGATTCATAGTTTTGGTAATATCAAAGAAATTTGAAAAATACGAGTGTTAAAACATCGACACCTAAATTAAGAAACAGAGTTTTACAAAATTCTCAATTTTCAATCATTTAAAACATTTCCTTTACATTTTGGAACAAACATAACATCACTCATTAATTTTGGATAAAGAGCTATTGTTATCCATTGCAAATAATTTTTCTGTCTCTAGCATCACACATTACCTACACCTACGATAATAAAAAAATCACAGGCTTTCGTATTTCATTTATAATATGATGTACTTAGTGCTTCACTGATTGTGTGATAACACTGGTCAACAAAAATTGTTGTATCTTACTAAACAAGTGTCATTCTTTACTAATTTGAGGGTGCTGATTACGAAAATGAGCTTATTTGCACAGTGGATCCAATGTTTTCAGTATAAGGGACGGTGGTACATGTGGGGGGTAAATCCGGGGTAGTAATCATCATGCCTTATTCACATTTTCTCTAAAATCACTGTTTTTTATTGAATTGATAGAAATATTTACAGAAATAAACCCCAATTTTGCATAAAAGGTTTAGATTTTCAATATAAAGTGGGTAATGAGGCATGGGTATTGGTGCTTCATGGCATGATATGACATTATATATGGAAAATATTTATGGTGTATATGTGGAGATTTGAAAGTGGTAGGCTTGCTGCTTGGAATGCAAAAAGGTTTCACCAAGCACTGCTGTTTTCTCTGCTTATAGGACAACTAAATAACATTATTTGAAGAGTGATTGGACCCTTCGACAATCTTTGGTGCCTGGAAAATACAGTGTGAAATCAGAGCTATTAGTAGACCAAAAAAATATGATTTTGCCGCCTCTCCACATCAAATTAGGTTTAATGAATAATTTTGTCAAGGCTCTAGACAAAAATGGTAAGGGTTTCAAATACTCTTGTGAGAAATTCCCAAGTATTACTGACGCAAAAATGAAAGAAGGTATCTTCATTGGGCTGCAGATCAGGATGATACTCAAAGATGACCTGTTTTCTCTGCATTTAAACAAGAAATAACTTCGCGCTTGGAAGCCTTTTAAAACTTTATGCGAAAATTTCTTAGGGAACAACAAGTCCAGTGACTATCAGTCCTTAGTTAAGGAAACGTTGGCAGCCTATAAAGATCTTGGCACACAGATGTCATTAAAAATACATGTTTTTTGCACATTCATTTAGAGTTTTTTCCCTAAAATTCTCGGTGATGTCTCAGATGAGTATGTTGAACGTATTCACCAAGATATCACGAGAATGGAGAAGAACTACCAGGACAGATGGGGCCCAGCTATGATGGGGGATTACTGCTGGAAGCTCAAGCGTGAAAGTGACTCAGTATTCAAGCGAAAATCACACAAAAAAACGCTTTTAACAGTTTTAAATTTTGCTTTGTAATAGTTTTATTCATAAAATAAAGTAACTTTTAATGCTTAATTTAATTCTATTTTTCTTATGTAACAACCTATCAACGATGGCAAGCTATGTGGTATATGAATCTCAAGGCAGGAATGTAATATCTCAAAAGTTTGTTTGTTTGTTTTTTTGAAGTTAAGTACAAAGCCATACAATGAGCTATCTGTGCTCTGCCCACTACGGGTATCGAAACCCGGTTTCTAGCGTTGTGAGTCCGCAGACATACCGCTGTGCCACTGGGGGGCAATATCTCAAAAATCTGTCCCGATATGAAAAAAAAACATTAATATTTTCGTAATTTATGCCCCAAAATTAGTCCAAAATATCAATTTTCATAAAAGATACAGAAAAAAAGTTTTTTGTTTCCCCGCGTAATCATTGTTTTATAAGTAGAAATTTTCAAAGATAATACAATATTTTATGTTTTAGTGAACAGTCTCTACAAATAACAAAATATATAAAATGGTGATGACGAAAATAAAAAGCGTTAGAGAACAAACTCATAAATATAACAACAACAACAAAAAAAGGTTTTAGAAAAGAAATTCCACAATCTATTAAATATCATGACTCATAAATCACATTGTTTACAACAAATGGTGGTTATTTTTCAAACATTTACAGCAAAATATTTTTTTTCACAATTTCTAATGCAAACTGGTACTGTTTTTCCCAATATTTAATAGAAACGAGTGCAGTTTCCAGCATGTTTATGGAGACATGCACTATTTTCACGTTATTTACAACAAACGATTAATGTTTCTCCAGCAAGTTTCGGAACAAAAAAGTCACAAATGCTCTCACACAAACTCTGTTGAAAACAAAACCAAAAGAGATCTAAACTGTAAACATAGGAACGTGCACATTTTTGTAAAAGTTCATAAAGTAATTAAGTTTGATCATATGCATGTATCAATAAAAATGTAACTCATACTTGAAAGTATATGTCATTATACACAATTATAAAAACATGTAGTCATTTCATCAACAAAATAGTTAATTTCTAATAAAAAAATTGCGATACACAAAGTATATAAAATACAATTATTGAAAATAAATATACATCTGTGTTTGTATTCTACGATATATACACATAAAGAAGTAAAAATGTATGTCCCCATTTTACTTTGGAAACTCAAATTTAGTTCTGTTGCTCAGTTTGAAATTATAATTAAGAAAAAGCATTTAAAATAGATGTGAATTTTTTTTTATTTGGTGCATTTAAAACTTATATGAAATGAAAATCACTTTCTTATAGAACTATGTTTCAAAGTAAAACATAATGACCAAACCTACTAAGATAAGT